GGATGGTCCTTGTGGTCTCTTCCAACTCTACGATTCTATGAGTCTAAGCTAAGTCACTAAGCTTAGCTGCAGAAACCCCTTAAAGCTGAATTTTCTGCATTTTAGTTGTCATCGTCATCATCATCATCATCACCAGCTTTGTGTAGTGGTTTGAGCGTTGGACTACAACCATTCACAGCTTGAAAATATCTTTTAAAATTTCCAAAAAGCAAAACTGGATTTTGTCATTTTATATAAAGGACACCATTTTACTCCTCCATTGTATTTAATAGGATTTGAGCATCCATGGACCATGGTATCTACAGGAGGTCCTGGAACCAACCCCCAGTGGATAACAAGGGCTCATTCTATCATCATCATCATCATCATCATCATCATCAATCATTGCAGGAATTTTTCCAGCCTTATGCACTGTTACTGGAATCCAAACCACATACTCGAGGTAGCCTTATATTGACTATTTGTCCATCTAAGCCAGTATTGTCTATGTTGACTGGCAGCATTTGTCTAGGACATTAGGCAGAGAGAAAGAAAGATTTTTACATCTATATTCTGATCATGTTTACTGTGGATTGAATTTAAGACCTTCTGTATGCAAAACAAGTGTTCTGTCATTGCCATTAGCCCCTTCTCTAGCTACCAGAAGCTTAAGAATGAACTCAAATGGTCTTCTTATGGCTATCTCATTCATTTCAATGTGGACTGCATAGCATAGGATGCTTATTAAATATTCCTATTTAATTAGCCTTTTTTATCCCCTGAGCATAAGAGGATTTTTAGAAGTAAACTGAAAACCTAAGATTAGATTAAGCAACCTTACTGTATCCTGCAAACCCCTGATTATGGATCAAGGAAAGTGCAAACAGAGGGGGATGGGGAAAGGAAGATATATTCACTTCATACCATACTTTATACTTATATTATGAGTTTTATAATATGTTATCTTACTATAGACACCATAGCAGTAGCTTGGCTTTCAAACCACTGTTTTAATTAAATTCTTGTCATGTACCTGTAGGGTGTTTCTGCACACACCCTTTTTTCTGAAATAAATATTGGAAAAATATTTCCATGTTTTTCAGAAGAGATGGGTAGATGTCCAATTACATGCCTCTGGATGTATTTATTATTTTGAAAAGATGCCTAAAATAGAGGTGGGGGGAAGCATTCTCCGTGACACCCTAGCAAAAGGAAAACATGGTTAGTAATCTCAGAGTGCAGCTAGAGCTGATGATATTCAGGGGTAGCTGTGCTGACCACACAGCAAAATAAAACAATATCCAAAATGCACAAAACAACAATATCTTTATTGGCCAGCTAAAATGCACAAAACATGCCATGCAAGGTTTTGAAAATCTAAGGGCTTCCTCATCAGGAGAAAGATCATACAGGAGCAGAGGAAATGATGGTGTTGGAATCATAGCCAACACCATTTACATTTTTGTCTCTGCTGTAGTTCATTGGGTTTGGAGGAATCTCAGTGGTAGTGGAGATTAAATTTTACTGTCCTTTGTCTCTGTCCTCACATAACCAAGAGGGGACTGGCCTTTGTCTGCACTGAGATCCTTGCTGAAGGGCAACTTTGCACAACTGAACCAAGACACCAATTGTGCACAACCAACTGCACATGCACCTCCACATACAAAATGCATCAACACACATTTTACCACCATGAACAATATGTATCCACATGCAATGTGTGTAATTCCACTTCTGTAGCCTTGAAATTAGTATGGACACACCATAGTTGACAAAAATGCCCAACCTCTTCTGTAGGTGAACTTATACATGCATAAGACACTGACGGACTCTACCCAATCTCTTTTGACACAAGAACCCATTTGATCTTGGGCAAGTCACACTCTCTCAGCCTCAGAGGATGGGAATGGCAAACCCTCTCTTGAAGAAATTTGCCAAGAAAACCCTATGATAGGTTTGCCTCAGTAAAAAATGACTTGGTAGTACACATCAAAAAAATGTTAATTTTAGCATACAATGTCATTACATTTTCATTGCCAGAAAAAGTTATGACATGTCTTTCTCTCAGTCCTCAACCCACCTTTGAAGCTTCTCCAGCCACCCACCACCAAATTGAGCTTTAATGGCCTGTGAGGGGGG